GGGAGGATAAAAGAAGCTGCATTAAGACACAAGGCTGAAGAGAGCAGCATGCAGGCGCACTCAGAGGACAAACTGAGCTTTGGTTTTCATCTGTGGCAACAAAAGCAAGTTATGATGCCCACACAAATAATTACACAAATATGAGTAAGACACTAATGAACAGGTTGTTTCCAAATTAAATTTGCAGCAATTTTGGTTCCAATAATATCAGTGATAGTACGCTAATGAKGCCACCATCACTGGAAATCAAACCTGTGTTCATGTTGTTCCTTGAGTTTGTTTTTTTTATTTAGAAAATATGCTATTTTTACCAAGTCCACATAGCAGCAGACCRTGTAATAAATGTAAATACAAAGGTCTTTGTGGTAGAAGCGTAGCACGTTTTTAAATAAGAAATTTATTCAATGTCCCATCAGGGTAAGCAGTGATGCCAGGCAAATATGTAAACTTCAAATGTCTGTTGTAAACCTGAAAGCAACCATATTTAATAACATACGCCACAGGTGATGGCAAAGGTAGATTATTTGAGGAAACTATACTTTTAAGGATTATAATAAGCGTTATTTATATTGGCAAAGTTATGCTTTTACGCCATTCAAAAATTTKTTWTATTGGTATTTTACATAGTAACAGCAAAATGTCCTCAATGTACAATGTTGTCAGACGTCAGAATAACTGCAGAGCTGAAAAAGGTAGATATAAACACTGTTTAGACTAAGTATATTTCAAAWAATKCATTGCAAAATAYTGRCTGAGSAATGYAAAAGGTCAATAATAAATACATTTAAGAGAAGTTAAATTGATCAGAAATAAAGATAAACAGAGGCTAGCCAGTCTACAAAATACTGGAGAGTTAAACCAACTCAGAATGATGTTTCTCAATGGAAAATAGGGAAAACATCCAACATCAAAGGATTTTAAGAATTTGCAGCAATTTCTAATGCAAAGGACAAGGTTACAAGCCAATAATAGATGTCCAAGATCATTGGGCCCTCAGGCAACATTACAATTCTAATTAATTTGCTAGTACAGTACTTTAAAAGGGTGTGTAACAAAAATAGCATTATTTGTTAGTTTTACCACCTGCTGAGACCCCGTCTTGTGCATTGCCCACAGGCAGAACCAGTTCTCACAGCACTATGAGCTGAGCTTTGTGTGATTGGTCAGAACTTCATGGGYGTGTTTGTTTATGTGAAGTGGCTGCAGTGAGTTTATCTCTGAGRAGCGTGAGAAAAATACAGCCAACATTACGACTGTTCCAGTAAAAATGACAGAAAATGTCAAATAAAACTTATAAAGATAGTAAAAGAACTTGTTAAAAGGAGATTGGACAGCTTTGTGAAGCCAGGATATGCATGGCTGTGATGACCAGGAGGGGGTCCGCCTCGGCCGGACAGCGTAGGAGCAATGCATCGTCTGTAGTAAACAGTGACCGTTTGTGACAAATTTACAAATTACTGCTTCTCTTTGGTTAACTGAAATATCAGGTTTTTCTTCTCCACCTCCTCCACAATCAAATGAAAATAAGAATCTGTGACAACAGCTCTGTCTGTGTTGATTCTGAGCCTGTGACGTGTGCTGCAGTGGGAGGACTTATCAGGATTTATCCACCACAGGTACTTTTTTTTCTATGTGAATAGTTGTCACGACAGCGAGATCCRTCGTCTCACATCTGTTTTGAAGTACAGTGGACCCTTACTACTTGAGCTTGTTAGAACTTCACTACAGAGACACCCAGATTTAGGATCAAGAAGCAGAACATCAATTTGCCTTAACTAACCACACTTGAAGCCAGTGTCTCACTGGGCTATGACTACTGTGGACTATTCTGAGTCTTTGCCACTAGTGGGTAATGCAGCCATGTTTTCCTGGACTATTTTTTAAAAATCAAGGCCGATTTTTATGTGCGCAACTATTCACTTAAATTCAATTCAATAACATTATTAATTTCTTGAAAACAAAACTAATTCTATGTATAATAAAAAGAAAATACAAATACAATGAAATGAAAGGCAGCAGAGAGAAGGAAAATAATCTTATATCTGCCCCTTTTTTCCTTGAGTATAAACTAAAACAATAATAATCTTCAGTTAAATAATAAAACTGTATTCTAATATGCACATTATTTTGTTGCTTTTGCTGTTTTGTACCAAACTTCGGTAGCAGAAATTACAGGAATACAATTAAAATGWAGACTGTCTGATGTTAAACAGTTTGTTTATGAATATTGTTCATCATCGGTGTGGTTGGACCTGGACATTTAGTGTTGTAGCTTCTGATGTGTTCTGTCAGAGTAAAGCTACCATGCAGTGGTCAAAATGCAGCTCTAGAGCTCGTAATTAATGGAAACTAAATTGAGAAAGCTTCCAGACAGGTTTGAGACACTTGCGATAGCCCTGTGACTATTTTATTAGAAAAAATTTGATTCACACATATTTTTAACATGTTTAAAACTGGAGCAACAATACTGCAAGCCTCTACAACTCCTGTGAGCATTTTGAGACAGCCCAGTGAGATACAGCCTTTACTGAAATAAGTTTGTGTTGATGGATCAACTAAAGCTCAAATTAATGCAAATGTAATGCAGTTTAGTTTTTGTTTTAATTTGCACAGTGGTGAGAAGCACTGTTGCCTCACAGCCTGACAGTTCTGGGTCAGAACCTGCTGGCCTACTGGGAGCACCAGGAGTCGAGTCTGCATGTTCTCTCTGCACGGGTTCTCTGCAGTTGCTTCAGTATCCTAGAGTCCGGAGAATCTAAAAACTCAGAATCTAAAGCCCTTTTCACACAACACCTCCGAAAGCTGCCTCAAATCACTTCAGAGCAGGCGATAAAGCCACACCAACCACACAGACATGTATGTGCAAAGTGGCATGTGTTCTGCGCCCCTCTCTAAACAACACATCGTAAAACTGAGCAGCACGTTTGCTGAGTGTGGTAAAACCAAAGGACAACAGCAGTGATTTGATGAGGAACCTGACAACCTGCAACAAAGGTGCTAAAAGGGCTGGAACAGAAAACAACTACGAGAGCCAATCTGGATAATCCTCTGTGTTAACCTTCTGATTGACTGATCCATTTATTTACTGCCTTCCTAAAATAAATAAATAAATAAATAAATAAATAAATAAACAACTTCAAATTAATGCAAAGAACTATCAATAGAAGACAAACATTATAAATTCAAATTCCAAAATACTTTATTGATCCCAGAGGTAGGGTTGGGCGATAAATGGATTTAATCAATTAATTTGAATTTGCCATTTATAAAGATTTAATTTTGGGAAAATCTGGATTTTTTTTCCCAGCAGTGCACTCTTTGGGGTTTCTGTAGTTCAGAGGTCACCCCACCTGTCCCTCAAGACACTTGGTACATGACATGACAATATGGCAGCTGGCAAAGAGGATCTGCTTCTGAAAAAGGCCCTGTTTCTTCAGTTTTCTGGTACTGGTTAGGTTTCCCAAACTCAGACTTGGAGCCATGAACACCTCACTGCAAAACGTGTTTGAAGACTCTTGCTACAAAAAGCAGGAGTACAACAAATTTGTTTCAACACCTGAAACAGAGGCACTCCGTTAAGTGGGAAACAAAATCGATTAAAATCAAAAATCTAATTTGTGATGAACAAAATCAAAGATTTTTTTTTTTTTTTTGGGGGGGGGGCATATTGCCCAGCCCTACCCAGAGGGAAATTAGGTAAATTCCATTGTAGTCAACTCATAAAAGGCATTTATAACAATAATACATTTTATTTGAAGGTACATTTCATGGCATTCAAGTACACAATACAATGAAATAGAATTTACACTGTAGTGAAATAAAGAATAAAACGACAAATAAAAATAACAAACGAGCAGGTGGATGTGTGACTTGGAGGAGGTGGACCTGAGGGTGGTGGTGGTGGTTGGGGTATTGAAGGCTTTGAAGGTGAGGAGCAACATTTTATAAGAGATGTGAAATTTAATGGAGGAGCCAGTGAAGACGCTGTAGGACAGGTGTTATATGACTGCTKGAAGGGCTTCTGGAAATGATACGAGCAGCTGAGTTTTGGACCAGTTGGAGTTTAATGGATTTTGCTGGTAAACCATAAAGAAGGGAGTTGCAGTAATCTAGACATGATGTGACCAAAGAGTGAACCAGAACAGCAGTACTGCTGCAYGAGAGGGATGGACAGAGGTTACAGAGGTGTAGGCTGAACGAGTGATGCTACAGATGTGAGATTTAAATGATAATGTGTTGTCTAGGTGGACAGACTCCTAACCTGGGGGGCAGGAACTGAGATGATGTTGATGAGAACAGAAAAGTTTCCGTTTATGCAAGGATGGATTTAGTGCCAATAAGAAGTTCTAATTCATTTTATTAAAATTTCTTGACTTTACTTGGTGTCTTACTGTGATTTTATCAGTTCTTAAAATAATCTGCTGATAGTTTCTCCACACATTTTATGAGCTAAAAGACAATATCTGTTCCACGCTATGCGAGAGGGCGAAATATTTATTCGTAAACCTTTTGTTATTAGTGTGCAAGTAGAGACTTTTTGCTCATGAAGCAATAAAACCTGCAGGCTTTGTTTAAGGGTCCTCTGTGTTTCTGCAGATGCTCGTACAGATCTGTAGAAGTGCTGCAGCTGCACAAGCAATATTCTGTTTTTAGGACAGGGAGCGAGATTTGACTGCTCTGCACCAAGAGGGTTAAAAATACTGATTGCCAGGGGACCCGCAGTGCTCTTGATGTTTTTTTTATTTAGAGTTGTTTGATTTAATATCTAAGTTTCTTCAAACACACAGAAATAATGGTCTTTCTTATGATTTGATGTTATCGACTGAATCTGAGTAGTCTTTCTTCTTTGAGTTCAAATCTTTGATTCGTTAAATCTTGGACAGCTGTTTCAGTCTCAAAGGGGAAAAGGCCTTCAGCCCAGTGTGATGGATCAAACCACATCACTTTAATCATCAGACACAAAAACACATCTCACTGCCCTCACCTCCCTCTGCACCTACCTGATACGTGTTGTCAAAGCTGTCATACATGAACCTTGTGATCAGAGACGTCTTTCCAACTGCAAGACAAGAGAAAGACAGATTGAATGAACTGATGAGCAAGAAACTTTGTCTTGTTGCATTCAGACACACAATGAAAGCTCACAGTGGAGCTGCTGGCGGTAGTTTCTGTCATGCTTGTCACTGCTGCAGAGAAGGAGCTCATTAAAGAGTGAGGAAGGTCAGGGTGCCACCAGGTCTGGATGTAAGTGCAGTCCAGCAGCTGGAAATGTTGCAGTTCCAAAACTTGTACTTTTTAATTTATTTTAAATATATAAAACAAGGAGATGAGATGCAAAGATTTGATTGTTTTAAGCAGAACAGGCTGAACGGTGAACTACAATCACAGTAAGAACCTCAAAATCACGTTTATTTCCAGGTTTACACCAACATGAACCATGATTTCATCCTGGTGATTTGGTGCACAAAGGTTTACATTTTATAATGTAGAGAGACAATAATATGCACTGTTTCCACTTGCATATTGTACACAGATATACAACAGGATGTGCAAAATATCACCTTAGATTAAGTGTTGATAGAAAACTACACTAAAAACAGATTTCAAAAGGATGTGTTATTTTTAAGTCCTAAATTACATGCCTTGTATCTTTCTACGGTAGTAGTTCTAGTAAAAATGGTTTAACGCAGTAAAAACATAATAGCCATAAGTGCAACAATGAGTAATAAACAAAATCTTATTTAATACAAGAAACTTAGTTAGGTAAAAACCAGACCCTTGTCCTTCACTTTGCTTCATACGAGGGTCTGGACTCTCGGCTATAGAGAAGTGATTCTTGATGGAGGCGTGGCCTCTGCTGAAGTTTAAAATGATTGGATCGGTTGGCTGTATGTGTGCACTAGCTCCACTGTGAAGGAGGCTAAGCTAAGAAGCTAACCAGAAATCGCGTGCGCTGTAAACAACCCTACTGAGAGGAGAAAATTACCGAGCCGAACGAGACGACTGTAAATGAGAGCTGCTGCTTTGTCAGACAMATTTAATTWAATTTGGAAGCCTTATCAACACAGACTGGCTTCATTCACTTCCTCCACTGCCGCATGCTAAACTACTAGCAGACACTGCGCAGAACATCAACATTGATCAAAACTCCACCTTCTGTTTGCTGATTGGCCYAAATGAAATTCTCCTGAAGAAATCCTTGTCTATGGGAGAARYCCCAGACGAGCAGAGAAGGGAAACTAGAATTGAGCAGAACTGTGTAGGAAGGCAAGGGCCAGGCTACAAGAAAGTAGAATAAGATGAAATACATTTTTTTAATCAATGTCTGATGAAAATTCAACTGATTTCCATAGTGACACCTTTTACAAACACTTTCCATGTTGTTTTGACATTAACAGTGTTGTCTTCTGACACTCAAAACACAACAGGAACGTAAAAAAAAATGCTTTCTGGGGTCTTGGAGAGCTATGTAAACAAAGCAAATATAACTCACTGATTTTATGTAATTATTTCTAATCTGGTTGTTTATTTTCTGTGTGTGTGAACACATTTTTGCTACATCATGGGGACCATTTTCCAGACAATCAGCCTTGTGGGGATCCATTGCTCCTGATGTACCTGTGGGGACCAGGCGTTGGTCAACACAGGTACAGATGCAGATTTTGGGGTGGGGGTTCAGATTAGGACTAAGGTGTAAACTGAGTTTAGGTTAGAATCAGGTATCTACCTGTGAGGTTAGGTTTAAGGCACTGGTTCTCAATTCCGGTCCTCATGACCCACTACCCTGCATGTTTTAGTGGTTTCCCTGCTCTTCAGCAGGTCTTTAAGTTCTGCAGAAGCTTGCCAATCACTCGTTCATTTAAATCAGGTGTGCCAAGGCAGGAAAACAACTAAAACATGCAGGGTATGGGTCACGAGGACAAGAATTGAGAACCACTGGTTTAAGGTTAAGGGGTCAGGGTTAGGCTGTAGAAACGATTGGTAAATTAATGGAAAACAATGTAAAGTCCCCACGAGGATAGAAAAAAACAATTTGTGTTCTGCGTTTAACCCATCACTTGTGAGAAACACCCAAATGGAGCAGCGGGACACTAAACGCCTGGGGAGCAGTCAGGACTTTCTCAAGGACATCACAACTTGTAGACAAGGCAGGGAGTCAAACCTGTGGATTTCTGGCCCCAAATTGGCTGCCTAACCACTGTACCACAGCCACTCATTCTCTCACTAGTTTTAAGAAATGTAATGATTATCTGTACACAGGTTGTGCATATTTACTGTATTTAGTATGTTTTTGTGCAGCAGCAGTGATCCACAGTACGGCACAGGATTGTGTTTTTACAAATATCTGCTGTAATTCTGAATTTTCAAACTAGTTTTGACCAAAGTATAACAGGGATGGGAAATAAAAGTGTTACATTAGATTAATGTGAATAATTTGTGTAACTGTTTTGATAAATGTCTCTTCTTTCCACCAGCATGTGTTAGTAACACACACATCTAACTACTACAAAGTGGCAGTAATGCACCAAGTTGTTTCTCTCAACCACCATGGTGCTTTTCCAGGCTGGTTCACTATATTTAGCACGACACCTGTCAAAAAAAAAAACACCTCAGTGATCCCACGTCTTCCTCTWCCATTCATTTGGAAAGATAAAGTAGAAACTACAGTTACATTCACTGCTAAAATACACGCCGCCTACTCCACACTGAATCACTGAACCAATAAAAATGAAGAAACACATATTCCTGGCTGTCAGAGTCAGCAACACCATACACCTGCATACCAATAAGTGAATTACTGGTCAAAAATACTTAGCACAAAAAGTCAGTAAACTATTGTTTGGTAGAATATTTCTTTGTTGTAACAATGTTTCTCGAAAATAAATCTTATAGCAGCACCTGACTGGCAGCACCTGGGGGCACCAGAAGCTCAAAACAACAAAATAAGCTGTTTGACAGGTTTTTCATGCGCACAATCCCCATACTTTGCTCATCCCACAAATGCATGTTCTTTACAAATGTGGCATCATTTAAAAGAGAACTTACCAGGCTTTCCAGCAGTATAAAATTTATTGTCAAGAAGTATTGTTACAACAAAGAATCTACCAAACATTATTTTACTTACTTTGTGTGCTAAGTTCAGTATTTTTAATTATTTTTACTTATTTCTAACTTTATCTGACTTATTTGTTTTTATTGTTTTTATCATCCTGCAGGCTCTGAGAGAAAATTAATTTGAAGCTGAGTTTTTGATAAAAATCATTACATTACTCTAAATGTCTGTAAACCTGCAAAATGAGGGAAAATCTGTGTAAATTACAATCTGTTCAAGTGAGCAGCTGTCAGCACCTGTCATCCTCCAGACGACGACGCAGCGAGTCTGAGCCAATCGCTTTTTTTGACACTGATCAGCTGACTGATTTAAATACACCATAACACTCATGAGGTACTTTGCATTGACTGTTTATGGTTGAKTGTGGGTGTGTAGAGGGTTGAACCTGAGGCGGGACCTTATGTGTAAACTCTGAGGCACGGCTGTGATCTATAAAGTTGCAGAAACATGCATACGCGCGGTTTGATAAATCTGAATTATTTTTTTTTTTTTGACGTACGCCATTTTCACCTTTTGGCCGTACGTTCACTTTTAGTGTGGTTTCCATGCAATCCTTTAGAAATCTGACCCCTGGTCATTTCTACACCTGCCTGGTTTAAAATAATGTGAATGTGTTTTACGAAGTGGAAAATTTCAATTTTTCTTTTTGGTTCTCATTAATTCCTTTGATCACGATAACATTTATTAGTGATGGTTATCAGGCACAAAACATTCAATGCACCAGACCCTTATTGCTCACTTTGCTCCTGGGGGGCTCTGGGTTCTTTCATCCATGTTGTTTGAGAGTGTCTGGGGTTCAGGAACTCTGGGTTAAAGTCACTCATTGTCTTTCTGAAGTAACTGGAGTTCCTCTCCCTTTGGAGCCTGCTGTACACTTATCAAATGTTTATTCACAATTATCTCTAATGGAAAAAACTCAGAATCTCTGTAACTCAACTGCAACATAGTCTAAATGTGATTATTAAGTATTAGGGGCCTTCTTCATTTAGATTTTTAAGAAAATAAAATCTTTTATATAATACTTGGCTGCAACAGAGCTTCAAACAGACAGAGACMATCTCTCTCTCAGTAAACAATCTGTCATATTCACAGTTGCAATTGTTTACAGAAAGATTTTATCAGGCAGACTAATTACATGTGTCTATGCCTTCACTTGGTTTCCATAGCTGCCAGGCAGAAACTGATGCGCAGCAACTGATTATGCTAATCATCTCTCCCTAATTTATCAATACACCATCTAACTAACTTGGCACCAAAGCTGTCCTACTTTAGTMAGATAGCATCTAATTTATGTGGCTTCACTAAATCAGAGATGATTTTCTTACACTTTATTTTTGTGTGCACAGACCTAAAATAAACAAACATTAAGTTCTGTATTCAGAGAATGTGAAGTGGTTATGGTTTAGCAGATTTTATGGTTTTAACAGTTTAGCATTATTCATGTGTGGCAGGTGATTTAGTGGTAGATGTTAAACCATTATTATTATTATTATTATTATTATTATTATTATTATTATTATTATTATTATTATTATTATAAGCCTGTCACTTATAACAGGCTACTTGTATTGCGTTTGATTGCAATTCTAGTTTTTCAACATCATTGAATAAAGTCTCACAGTTGGACTCCTCTCCTTTTCAGGTCTCCCAACAACTGACCCAGACTATATTACGTTCAAATAAAAAACATCAGCAGGTTTTTGAGGAGCTACAATAAAATATCTGGATTATTAGATGAAAATAATTCTTGATGGCGACTGTTCATTACAATTAACCGTACTACAATGTTGACTTTATAGTTGTTTTTAGTTGGGAAGCATCAGTGCCTGTGAAAGAGCAGAACATTATGATGCAGAGCTGCTGCTGAGTCATCCTCTGAGCAACATGAAACAGCACTCTGAGCCTCTCAGTCACAGCTGAAAGCTCCAGAAACTCAGGAACCGACA